TTGATAAAGTGGCATGACTATTGGAATGAAATGGCACTTCCAAATACCATTTTTATATATGCTTGGTTGAGGAAGAGGACTAAAGAATAGCTATTCCATAATAAAATATTGCTTGAGATTGTATCCCTAAAATGACCAGTGTAATGATCATTCCGTTTAAGAAATTATATTATAAACTATAATGTTGTAATACTTTCTTTAATTGTGATTCCATTCCATTTCAATGACTAATGAAACTGCATGATAGTTGTGATTATAGTATATTTCAATTTTCAAGTAGAATAAACCATCCAATCAGTTCATATGTTTATTCTACTCTATTCTACTTCTATTATTGTTTTTCTTGTTTTTTTTTTTCCTAAACTATGAGAGGGAGTAATTGATATCATAGCAACACATCGCAACTAGGTTAATACACAAATCCCTATCGAATTCTCCACTTGAATACTATTATAGAAAAAAGAAAATTACAAAAGAGGTTGAATATAAAATACAAAAGAAAAAACCTAAAAGACAAAAAAAAAAAGGAAAAGAAAGCAAGGATTAAGATCTATAGGGAGGCCTAAATTTTCTAGTATAATGAAAAAGTTGGAATCAACGTACCGAAAAACAACAGATATGTATCGTTAAAAATCACCCAACAAGAACCACATAGGAAGTAGACAGAGAGAGAGGGAAAAAAAAGTACATATCTATGCAAAAGTTTCTTTCATCACGCACTAAATATATATGTAGTTTGAAACTCAAATCATCATGTGGTAACGGTGTTCCTATGTTTCAACGAATCAATGGCAGTGCTTAAATTTATTTACTACTTTATTATGAACATTTTTAACTAAATGATCTAAGTTGGACGGTTCTAATGGACATAATAATAACAGCTATATAAGCATATCTTATAACTTAAGTGATAAGATTTACCCTTCATTATCAATAATCTCTCAATCAAGATGGTGGTTGACAAATGGTTCCACAATTCGGAGACATGGGGACCCCCTTTGAATATCTAATGCTCGTCACTTTCTTATATTCTTCAAATATTTTTAAAGATCAATTAATTAACACGTTTCAGAGACGTTAATTTGCATTCTCACCACATCTTAAGCTTACTTGGCTTATATATCTTTTACCGTGCATGGTTGCCATAGTATTGGCGGATATATCCCGGATCGCTGTTATATATATATGGACAAGTTTCGTTACTTATTAAATATGAAAATTTGATGACATGCCGTAATAAGAATCTAATTTTATTAATTACCATAAACTTTTTTAATTAACTAACTAATTTATTATAACCGTCGGATTAATATTTCACGACTAAATTAATAGTGATACTCTACTGGAGTAACTATTGAAACCCACACATATATATACTCTTGGTAGTTACAATGATTTTATGATTTGCTAACTAGCCTGTGCTGACCCATGAGAACGTTACATCACTTTAATTTGTAAATTGTCATGATATGTGTTATGCTCCTCTTTAGTAGGTAAAACAGTAGCATATATATTGTACCCACTAGCCGGGTCGTGCTTGTACTTCTCAGAATTAATTTCCTAAAGAGTAACTTCCTCATCGGTGATTAATCCAATATCGGTGTTGATTAATGTGAAGTTCATCAAATTGGGCAGTACTCGAATATATGTTCAAATCTCTTGAAATGATCAAAAGACAATTTATATTCAAATTCTTGTTTGTTTTTCCTTTTCTTGCAAATTATATCCCAATTTGAATAAATCTTTTGGAATGCTATTAGGGTTTTTATGACCGCACGTTTGAATGATTAGTTTGGACATATATACAATGTGTTGCACACAAGGGGCTTGCTATGATGCAAATTTTTGGGTTGCCGGGGGTATGATCTAGTTATGGTGGGGAAGGCAAAATTTAAGCCATGAGTTTCGGCGGTGCCCTTTTTTTTTTTTTTTTTTTTTTTTTTCTTCTTTTTGTTGGTGTGTAGGGACATTGCCTTTACACGTAGTTCCACGTTATTAGCCCTCTCCTTTGAACTCGTAATGATGGTTCTTCATCAGCATATTCATGAAGGGAAATAAGAAAACCCCACACACACACACACAACAAAGATTATTCTTTTAGAAAACTTGATTGCTACTATCATTATATATATGTGTATATATATATTCTTGTTGTACTAGTACTCTTCACACTACAACAAAAAAGTCATTTACGGCGACTTAATGTCGTCGCAAATAAGCGATATGTCGTTGCAAATACCGTATTTTTAACGACATATCGTCACAAATTAGTCGCCGTAAAAAATTAGACGCAAATGATATATTTACGACGATAATATTTTGAGCTATCATCGTAAAATATAATAGCGATGATAATCGTCGTGAATAAGTCGTCACGAATGTTCCGTCAAATATGTCGTTGATGATGAAGTGGCGTAGAGTATTTGCGACGACATAGTGTCGTCTCAAAAGGTTTTAAACACTTTTGCGACTACACTGTCGTCGCTTGTAATTTGATCTATTTGCGACGACACCCTAGAAATATCGTCGCAAATAGCTTTTTTTGTACTTTCTTAATAATATTAATTAATAAAGATAAAAATGAGAAGAAAATTTATAATAAAATAATATAATATAATTGATATAAATAGTCAACACAATAATAAAAATAGTTTTAAAAAGAAAATTAATTAAGAAATACTAAAAAGTATTGATAATAAAAAAATAATAACATATATTTTAATCTCCTAAATTAGCAGTGTCGTCGTCCTCATCCTCGTCTTTTTCATTTTGCTCAGACGGCAGAAGAACTAACGGTTAGGGGCGGTTAACTGGCAAGAAGTTTATGTTGGGATTCATCAAGCGCATGACTTCCATCATGATATGCTGGTTGTCGAACATGTTGCGTTGATCGATGTATTAATAATTAATAATAATAATAATAATAATTAATTGCATCATTTACATTATGCATAACAAATAGAATATATAAAGATATAAAGATATATATTTATGTCATGCATATTGTTGTACCATAGTCGAGCAATCAACCATTCTTTTGACTGTTATGCGTTGAGAGTTCCGTAGCTGAGGGCCAATCACTAACATCGAGAGTTGGTGATTCTTGAAATGTCCCAAAGACGAGGATAACTCTTATAGGAGAAGGGTATGGGTCGAGAACTCTCCCTAAGCCTTACAGGCCATGATGTTGAGGGAACTACATGATCAAATTTAAATCAAATCCCACAAAATCAAGAAGAGATAAGCTACAACAACTGTCCATATTCAAATTTGGAAACCGATAAGGATAATTCCTCATATTCAGTTATTCAAATATGAAAACACAATTGCGAAATCCTGAGAATTAAGGATAAAGGAATTATCTACGGGAAACTAGAGATGAGGATTAGAGATTTGAGGAAGGCGTATAAATAAAGGCTGAATTCTTCATTTAGTTTTTTAAGCAATATTTTACTACTCCAAGAGAGATTGTAATTTCGATAATACTAGTGCATCCACAAGTGGACAGAGGCAAAGAATTTTTACCGAACCATTATAAACTTATGTGTCCTTTGTTTTTCTGTAATTATTTTCTTGATTAATTCGTGAGAGACGTCTGCGAGTGTTCCCGGAGAGATTTAATCTTGAGTTGACTAATTTTCACTGTCAACAATTGGCGCTAGTATGACAGGCAATCAGAAGAGTCAGGAAGGCCAGAATCCTACTGCTAGGGGGAAGTTAACAAATCCACCTAATGGCAACCAGGCACAGGTGGAAGACCAGCCCAATCACAGGGCGAATGCGACGGCCAACAGAGACTCCCAGGATCGCATCAATCTGCTTCAAAAGCAGGTCGAGACTCTTGCTACAGCGGTAGAGAGGATGGCCACGGCCATCGCTAGAAGACGCGTCGATGAACCCAGTAAATGCCGCTGCCGGGAACCAGACTAATGGTGACCAGCGCGGTGATGCTGAGGGAATCAGTGATATCAGGGCTAATAATAACCCTCGTCTGACCAAGTCAAATATGTCTGTGGGCAGCAGGCAATAGGCGGCTAAGAGAAGAGCCCAAGAGAGAGCTGCAACCCTGACGACAAATAATAGGGAGATACCCCCTCACCCAATGGAAAATGGAAATCAGAAAAATGCTGTTCCGATTGAGTCTTCTTCCGTACGTGGTGGAGACTTAAGAGAGGAATTGAACGCTCGATGTGAGCGAGAGACACAACACACCAGAGAGGAAGAACTCGTGGCTGAGAATAGGGTTTTGGTTGAAAAAATAGCCAAACTAGAAAAGCAAATTGGGAGTCACTTAAACAACTTTAAATAAATTATTGAAAAGGTGACTGAGACTGTAAATGTCGACGCTAAAATGTCTCATTTTGTTAAACCAACTTGTAATTTTTGGCCCGCTCTTTAAAGTATATATAGTGTGTGGAATTTGATTCTAGGTCGAATAATAAGAATGATGGAATAATTTGTTGTCAAATCAGACTTCCATTATATGTCGCTAAGTAGTTGATTAAGCAACATTTTTTCATGGTTACAAATCAAACTAAATACTGGGTTTGGCAAGACCCACAAAAGACGAAAAGGAAAAGGCGGTTTTAATCATACAATTTTGTTAATGTTTTCTGTGATGTACTGTTATTGGAATCATTAGGACAATAATGCAGTACCAATCCCTGTCAAATTAGTGATTTCACAAGAGAAAAGTTAAATGATCAAAAGGGTCAGCAAAGACTGATCAGCAACGGAGCAAGTCATTTCTACTTCCCTCCATAAACCACGCTGACAACAGAATTCCAAATCTTAAAAAAAAAAAAAAAAAAAAAAACAAGAGAGAGAGAGAGAGAGAGAGAGAGAGAGAAATATAAACATAAAGAAAAAAAGACCCACTTGTTTTATTTGTATTTGTATATATATATTTTTTATAAATTATCTCTGGACAAAAGTGGATGCTTTATATATGTGTGTGTGTGTGTGTCTGTGTGTGTGTATTCACGTTGGATATACCTATATATCAAGGCTCCCTATCCCCAACCCTCTATTCTTTTACATCCACAAAAGATTTGGCTAAGAAAAGGGCTTACATGCTACAGGCCATCACAAGATAAGCTCGCAAAGGCAACCCCATGTAATTCCCAGCTCAATTCTCTCTCTCTCTCTCTCTCTCTCTCTCTCAGATTACAGATTCGCTAAATTCACAACAAAACCTACTTTCTTTAGCTTTTCCCATCCCACTAACTAAAAAAGGACTCACCCTTCTCCGCTTTTAATCTTGGTTTTCCTTTTTTTTTTCTTTTCTTTTCTTTCCTTTTTTTTTTTGGATTGTTGTAGATCTAGAAAGGAGAAAAGAGATGATTCAAGAACTATTGGGAGGTGCAGGCTTATTAGCAGGAGAGAGGAAAATCTCCATCAATGGATCAGGAGGAATTTTAGAAGCTGCCACTTTGCCTCACTCACTTTCTCCTTCACCATCTCCTTCTCCTTCATCTTCTACTACAATAGCAAACGCCACGGCCACAACTATCTCGGCCGCGACCGAGACGTCCTCGAGCAATTCGGAGAATTTGAGGTGCCCGCGGTGCGATTCTTCCAACACAAAGTTCTGCTACTACAACAACTACAACCTCACTCAGCCCCGCCACTTCTGTAAGACGTGCCGCCGCTACTGGACCAAAGGAGGAGCCCTCCGGAACGTCCCAATCGGCGGGGGATGCCGAAAGAACAAGAGCAACACCGTGGTCTCAGCCTCCGCAGGAAAGTCAGTCACCACCACCGGGAAGATGAAAATGGTGGCAACCGAGATCGGAGTAAGGCCGGGATTCGGTGCCGCCGGGTTCGACCCCGACCTCTCTTCGACCCCAATACTATGGGGCTCCCCACAAAATTCTCATCTGTTGGCGTTACTCAGGTCAGCTCATCAAAACCCTAACCCTAACCCTAATCCACTATGTAGTAGTGCCAATGCTTCTCTTAATAATGTTAAGGAAGAAGGTAGTAGTGGTAATGGCCTGATTGGGTCCCACATGATGAGTAGTACTGCAACTGAGACATCATCAGCTGCATTAAACGGCACAGTGAATATTGGTCGGAGCCTGGGGCTGGATCCCATGGCGCAGGTTCCATCGCTAGGTCTGTGCAGCTCCTTTTGGAGATCATCATCATTATCAAACAACAGCCAAAATCACCAACAAACTTACCACCAACAAAATGGTTTCACACAGCTTGGTGAAGCAGCTCATAGCAACGGTACTAGTGGAATACAAGAGCTGTATCAGAGGCTAAGATCATCAACATCATCATCATCAGCTGCTAATAACTATTTCAACGATCAGACGGCTGTGGTTCTTACTCATCATCATCATAATCACCATGGGGGTTCTAATTCTTCTCATTCATCCTCTTCCTCTGCTAATTCAACTTCTACGACGAAGACGATGACGACGTCGATTTTGGAGTCCGCCCCAGTTGGTGGCGGAGGAGAATTGGGTTTCTGGAACAACCAAGCAGCAGCTTTCTCATGGTCTGATCTTCCAACAACTAATGGTGCATATCCTTAACAAACCTTTTATTTTACTTCCTTTTCCTTTTGGTCTTTAGGTTGTTCATGTAATATTATTTGTTTTCTGTTGTTTTTCATGGGTTGTGATTTTCTCTCTCTTTCTCTCTTTTCTTTTTTTTTTTTGTTTTTTTTTTGCTTTTTTTTTGTTTTTTGTTTTTGTTTTCCTAGGTGTGTTTTGAGGTGTGGTTTAGCTAATTATGGTGGTGTATTAAGGAACCAAAAATGATAAACTTGGAAATATTTTCAGCATTTCTGACTAAATTTTTTAGTGCTTTTTGATTACTTCTATTACATAAAATATTAGGGGCTTTTTTTCGTGGATGCAGCTTAAGATAGTGGCATGCTGAGTTCCATCTTTAACAGGTAGGTAACAACTTAACGACTTTGCCAGCCAATTATCTATATGTATGTGTATGTGTATAAATAATATCTCACATTATCACATTCTACAGCATAAAGTTAATGTCTTAGTACATCTTATTTTCTAAACCAAACTAAAATTCAAAAGGATTAAAGATATGTTACTAAAAAAAAAATCTTTTATAACAATTAAAAGGATGTGGTGGAAAGTTAAAATATTTTTAATATTAATTAACCTAAACTTGCTTTTGTTGTCCTTTTAATATGAGAATTTGTAGAGATTGGTATAGTGAGAGATCCTTACATAAAGATTCGGTTTGTTGTTTTATTACGAGAAAGTGAGAAATGAAAGTGTAAAAAAAAAAAAAAAAAAAAAAAAAAAGGATTTGGTTTTTGGAAAGAGTTTCCTTAAACAGCATTTGATTCTCACACACAGTTGGTCAGAGGATTCCTTTTCCGCCTGCAGCTTTTTAAACTTTGTGTCTCTCTACTACAACTAATTAAAGTGGAAAAATCAGCTTTTTGTATGAAAAATTTCCCCGTATCTTCTTTTGATTTTTTTTCATTAAATTATTATCTACTATATCTTATAACTGCAGTAGTTTTATCTAAAATTATGTAACGAGATATTTATCGGTCTTTTTCACTAATACAAAGAGTTAGCGCCGTACGTCATTCAAAAATTAAATCTATGTGGGTTATTCTTTTTCACTAATACAAAGAGTTAGCGCCTATTCAAGATATTTTCGGTTCGAACATTATTTGAGTATAATTAGTCTCACGACTTTATATACATATATATATATATATATATATGGGTGCGTTTTTAATAGTTACTCCATTATTATATCACTTTTTTCTTTTAATTTGATATTTTAAGATATAGTCAAGTGTGAATTTATATACTTCTGCAACCTTAGCTGTCAAAAGGCAACAATGTCTTAGAAAATAGCTTTTCATCTATTACAATATTTCAAGGGCGTGTCATCTTAATTAGGAGCAACCTCCCAGCCGGATTTTATTTTTTTGATTTTTGATTTTATTAAAAAACATTTCCGTCATTTAGTTATTGCTTTATCGTGACTTGATTACTAGAAAATTTGTCCCCGGATCAAAAAGCAATTACTAGAAAATTTACCAACTAAAAGATTGCAAGTTATTTTTATAGACTTTATAGTATCATAATTATGCAAGTTGTTGACGCATTTCATTGAGTTAAAGAAATAAACATTACCGGAGGAATCAGGAATTTATTTCAGGGGGCATGAATTAAGATAAAATTTTAAACCAATAAAAAGGCATGACAATTGAAAGACATTAAAATCCTAAAAAAAATCTTAATAACTCAGTTTAATATACTAAATTTATTTTTTGTAGGTTTTTATACTTTGAATTAATGTTGCATAATAACCATAATCTTATATACAATGGCAGTCTGTCTCATTATCGAATTGTGTATGTGTGTGTGTGTCTATATATATATCTTGTGTATAGAGAAAAGCAACAAGCGACCAAACCATGATCTTGGGTGAAGGTTTGTGTATGTTGGTGCGAAGGAAAAAAAATTATTATCATCATAAAAGAAGTAGAGGGGCATATCTGCCGACATCGATACGTAAACCTGGTTTAGATTGGATGTTAAAAGTGAAAAAGAAAGTTAGAAGATATAAAAGACTCTTGCATTTGGACGTTAAAAGTATAAAAAAAAAAAAATGTACCCCACTTAACAGTGAATTTGAAGACTGTCTAGATGTAGTTATAGTATACCATTTGATGGAGTGTGATTGGTTTCCAGGTTCTGAAAATATTTAGTTTTTTTTTTTTTTTTTTTTAATCAGTTTTGGAATTTAGACTTGGTGAGGGCGTATATATATTTCTGATAAGTAAGAGGGTATAAATTAAATTTTTTTTAGCATATTAAAAATCAAAAATAAAAAATCTAAGGGCATTCTAAGCTCTCTCTGCCCGTGGATATATATAAATAAGAAAAAATGCTAGTGTTTTGTCACTTTCTACCTTCACTATTACTAATATGATATAATATTATTAAAATAAAAAATGTGATAGTGAAATTCACGTGTCAAACAGTTAATGTAAAAAGTGAAAAAGAGAGTAACATAAAAAGTGACGCTAGTATTTCTCTTAAATAAGACTTTTGTATCCACGTACTCATGGTGCATTTATAATTTTAATGTTGACGTCCACATTAATTTGAAACACGGCCAAGCCAAAGTAGTCTCAATAGATAACAACTAAGCCACGAGGCAGGCCATTGGAAGTCTAAATAAACGTAGCAAAAAATGAAACCACAAAAAGAACATTGGGACATTAATTCAGCACATGAGATAAAATTGCAAAGTTATAATTATAGAAACTTTATTGCTTGTGATTGTGATAAAGGAGAAAATCTAATACATCAATGCTAATTAACTGTAACTAAAAGTATTACAATCTCCCTCTTTCTAGATAATTAAACTCCATTACCCCTTTTTATCCTTTTTTTTTTTACAGTCACACCCTCGTAACTGAAACTTATAAGAGACAAAAAAGAAAACAAAAAGGGAAATAAATTAATATTGGATAAGAAGCTTGGTGCATGCTAAATTAATAGGAGCTTCGTTTTACAACTTAATTATTATAATTATCTGGCTCGCTATTTTCGTTTAGCCTTGCCGCAATATAAAGCATTTGGAGGGACGTCAGTCTCAGTGAAGAGGCTGTGTTCAGTGTTCCAAACTCTGACATACAATTGTTGCCCTAAATATTGCCGTCCCCAGATTGCAGACCTCAAATTCCACATACCCTTGTTGTCCAACGACACTAGTATAGCACTCCAGGAATTAGGATATACCTGTCATCAAATGCAAATATTCATACATTTATATATATGAATAAGTTTTAAAGTCTTCAATTATCAATGATTACTAAATATTAAATATAGAAATATAATGATATAACGTGATAAGAATTATTTAATTTTATTAATTGTCATAAATTTGTTTAATCAACTACCAAATTAATATGATGATATAACGATAAATATTCGAGTAACTATTTAGACCTAGACCTAACGCGCGCGTGTGTGTATATATGTTTGAGAAGATAAATATATGTATATATTTATTGTGGTCCGTCTAATGAAATAATAAATTATAGTTGGTCTAATAGTAATATTTGCAAATTAAAAGAAAACGATAATAATTTTTATTTCTTTGGAGCTTTGGCGACACGAGTAATTAATGTCCAGAACTTTGCATAAGTTAATGCTAATTTACTGAGTTTTTCTCTTATTTTTTTTATACTTACCTGAACGGTGTGTCTAGATACAGCATCTGCCAAGTTGTAGCCTCTCCTCCGCCTAGGTTTCCATTGACGAGCTCCGTATCTGAAATATTCAAAATTATTTTTTGTCAATGATTTGTAACAATTGATCGTAAAACAAAACTACTATATAATGTGTACCATTCTTTATACGAAGAAGACAAGGATCCTAGAAGATTAATTATGCGAATATCCATTCAAATTAAATTAACTACCACTAGCTAGCTTAAGTAGATGCTTAATTACCCAACAGCGTAGAAACTATTTCCGGCCAAATGCCAAGACTGAACGGCGGCCTCGTTGTTTTGGAAGACGATTTCGATGAAGTCGTGGAGGGTGGTGTTGATAACGGAGGTGCCGAGGATTGCAGGGCCTGGAGTGGGCGTGTCCTTGATTGTGTTGAGCTTAAATACACCAGGAATTTTGAGATAATCAGCGAGCTTCAATGGGGTGCTTGGATCAACGTAGGAGATCCTGTTAACTGCATATCGAAGCTTCCCACCGATCTTTGCTTGCGAATTTGCTAGAACTATTGTCCTTAAAATCTTTATTGTCCCATAATGGAATGACCCTTGTGGATTAGGCCTGGCTGCATTCGCTGTCAAGTTCAATCTGGCAAGCGACACAAGTAGTGTGTTTAGTAAAAGTGTCCAAAAGTTATCTTAGCGCACGTTTGGTATTTGATTTGGGAGAACTCAAAAGTTCTTTGCTCATAATACGATGTACGTAATGTATTTCGTAAAAGTGTCTAAAAATTTTTTGTACATACACCAATGCACTTTTAGAGTTATTTATTTTCTCTTTCTACTTGACCACATTTTGCTATAAGTAAAAATTAGAAATTTTTTTAGAGCACAACAATCCTAAACTGGTTGTAAGTTATTGAACACTAAATACAATTATGAGATGAAAATATATATACACATGCATATGAAAATTAATTGATGGTGTAATTAATGTGTGGAAAAATGTTCAATAACTTATATATGTATTACACCCCATATATATATATATATATGTGTGTGTGTGTCTGTATACGTGTATGAATGGCTACCTGAATGTCCTGGCTTGTAACAAGGACCAACGAAGTTGGTAAGTTGGACCAATTGGCCATGGCCCTTGGGCTTTGGTGGTAGAGCCACCATAGCGAAGAATTGCAGTGGCAGTGAGGACAGGCTTTGTGAAACGGGTAGAAGCAACAATGAAATAGTCCTTTATATGATTATGGCACGTGACCAAAACAGCCAATGATTGGCCTGGATGAACGTCAATTGACTCATACGCTTCTTGAATAGTATGAGATCCTTCAACTTCAACGAGTACCATTGTATGGCCTTGAATTCTGACGTTAATGGAAGTAGCTATTCCCACATTGGAAATCCTGAACTTGTAGCTTTTCCCTGAAATTAGAATATTACAATCAATTAAACTTGGATATTTTTAATTTTGAGGCATTCCAAAATAACACTTAATTTTTTTACTGCTTAATAACAATATATAAACATATATATATATATATGCATATATACATTTATATACCTTTTTGTCCAGTGAAGGTGGCATGGTGAGGAAGCCCATTTATGAGAAGGCCATCAGGGAGAGGAAGAGAAGAGCCTGAGTCCAATTTCTTCTGTAATTCCTGAAAGAATTGTATTATGTGAACTAATTAGAAGATTCTTCATGCACTATTTTAAACTGGTAAGTCTACATGATCACCTCTAAAATGGGTCGATTTCCTACTTATAAATGCGAACTTTAATGTTAATATAATAGATTTTTTTTATTCTTTTTTAAAGTTGGGATTCACTAGTTGCACACCTTTAATATTAGTTATTCCTTTCGCAGTTTATTTATTTTTTTTAAAAAAAGGGAAGAATTAGTTAGGCATGACGAACCTTGTGGCCAGCTTTGTACCAATCACCAACAAGCACGGTGAATTCTTCGGCGGGAATTGGGTATGGGACTGCAATCACGGATCTGTGGTTAACGTTGAAACCGCCGAAACCGCCGGAAGCTCGGTGCATTTGAGTCGAAGGGAAGTAGAAGAAGGTTCCGATCTGATCTTTGGTTTGGAACTTGTATGTCCAGTTAGAATTTGGAGGGATTGGACAATTTGTTCCAAGCACCCCATCTTGCCATGCAGTCTTTCTTTGTTTGATTCCGTTCCTAGTATTTACCCACAAAAAGGAAAAAAAAAAAAATTAAAACTTAAAACTTGGGGCAGTGAGAAGCTAGCCATTATAGTTTATGTTCAAAATGCATTTGTTGATAGAAAAATTAGGCTAACCATGTGATGAGGAAGGGTTCATCCAGCTTGTTAATGACATTTACAATGATGTTGTCATTAGTCACACATTCAATTGTAGGGCCCGGAAATTGTCCATTAATAAGGATACCCTGAAAAATTGCAAAAAATAAAAAAATTAATCAATTGACAATATGAAACGACCGAAATTGAAAAATTAGAGAAAGTGTGGATTGGGTACCTTTTGTTGAACTCCAAGGGGAGAAATGGTGCCGTATGTGACTGTCCACGTGTAATATCTGTATGGATCTTCTGCATTGGCATAGAATGCACTCAAGCAAGCCAATGTTCCCAAGAAAAAATGAAGGAAAGTGGCCTGTCTCATTGTATCCGAGTATATTTTTCTTCAAAGTTCAAATATCTGCTCAAAAATATAATATTTAGTTATTTTTGGACAAGGTATGCTTTTAGCACCAAAAAAAAAAAAAAAAAATGAGGTTCAAAAAGGATATGCATACACACTTACACATGTTTACCTAATTAGTATGTAATATGACTATAAACTATCGTGCACATCACAAAGAAAATGCTATAGCTCAATGCACTAAGATTTTTTTTTTAAAGTAAATAGAGTGAGGAACTGAGATGTACCAAAAAAATCATTTTACATATCTATGATTTATTCTGCCTCTCTAAAATAACATGCTATATATAGCACATATTTGCACTAGAAATATAAACATTCTAGCTAATTGATGCTTAGAAATTCTGAAGTCAACTTTTTATATTTTGGTTCTCTAATAAGAATGAGACTCACAATATTAGAAAACACAAGTCCTTCCTCTCTCTCTCTCTCTCTCTCTCTATATATATATATATATAGATGTATAGATGTAGGTATATATATAGGTACCTACGTACGTAGAATAATATATATATATATATATATATGTGTGTGTGTGTGTGTGTGTGTGTGTGTTGTAAAGTTCTACCACATGAATATTGATGAAAGAGGATTATACCTGAAAATGAGAACTTTCCCCACAAAGGAACAAGGAGTTCCTAAATTGGAGAGATAATATTGGAGATAGTGGCTAGTGTGGGAAGGTTAGGAAAAGTGACAATGGTTGAGTGGTAATTACGAACCCACAAAGCCTTATATAAAGGAATGACGGACTCACTCAATAGGAAGCAGTACCCATATGATCCTGATTGTGACACCATGCATGGCTGACACACTCATTCACGAATTCCGAGGAACCCCAAATGCTCCTTTGCGGCGCACTTCATGCTACAAACTACATGCAATTTCACTCACTAGTAATGGTAATTCTTCAATTAAAGCTAAGTTTTTTTATTTAAAAAAAAATAGAGAAAATTGTTATTCTCATGTCTACAAACAAGTGAATACTCCCCATGTTGCCCCATTTGACTGTACATTTTGAATTCCGTGTAACCCTCCAATGGATGCTTTCATTTTGTTCCCCGTGAAGATAAATAATAAGAATATATATACACACATATATATATATATATATAAATGAATGTAATTAATTCGTAGTTTTAAGTATGTGAAATAGTACTGTAGATTTATCATAAGTACTAAGAAGTGTCGGTGGTGGAGGCGGGAAATTATAAGAAAGATCTAAAGAAAGCGAGAGAGTCGGAGACGAGAACGGATCGGTTATATATTAATTACCCAATTGATTGAGCATTTATTTTTCTCTTTATATATTAATTTTGTCTTATGATCTCTAATTATTTAGGACTTGAAAAGTGAGTGTTAGTCTTTCGATAGCTTAGATCTCAAGCTCACATGGTAGAAACGAGCAAAAACCCAAGCACAATGAAATTAAGGGTTTTATGGTAGTTTTACTAGATTATTATTATTATTACCTTCTTTAATTCTACATAGTTTTACTAACTTGATCGTCTTCAATTTGTCATTTTTGGGTTTCACGCGAGCTTAATTAACTCATCATCTTTGACGGTAGATGAGACATGAAAGAGATCAAATTAATGATTACGTTAAGTGAGTTGTTCAATTTTGTTTTGTAGGCTTGCGAACTAACATTAAAAGATGCTATAAAGTCAGAGCATCTCTAATGTAACACTATAATTGATGTATCAATTGCAAATTAATTTAGTATTTGAGTGTAAAAAAACACTTTCCAATGCAATGCTATTTTTTATGTCAAATTTCTCATATGTTATACTTTGCAATAAATTTTTCACTAAATATAACATATGAAAAATTTAACATTTGATTGTTATTGATTGCAATGTTACTTTTTCATGTAATCATTGCAGCTTTTACATTTTTTAAGGATTTTAAAAATAAAAGTTTACTTTACAACTTTCAAAGTTTAAAAAAAGCAGGTTTAGTCTTTTAAATAGCATTATGTATTGAAGTAAAAATGAAATAGCATACTATATCATACTTTTTGATGTTAAATATACAATTGACATTAATATTTGTATTAGAGATGGTCTTATTATTACATCCACATACAAGATGAGGAGAAAGGGAGAGAAATGGTTCTGTGTTCGGAACATTTTTATGTTTTTCAACGTAACTGATTTGAAAACAATTCCTAAACAATGTTTGGTTGATACGTATTCTTTAAAAAAAAAAAAAAAAAAAAGTTTATATGATTTGGAGTTAGTCTCATCTTTCTTAAGAAAAAAGAAGATATGATACGGTCGTTTTATAATTAAATACAATTTAACTTTTTTCTTATGTTCAAAAGAGTCACTCTAGAAAACAACCAAACATTTTTTTAAAAACAGTCACAACTTCATTCTAAAAAAAAGAAAAAAAAATTCTCATTTTCATTTTCATAGGATCAAAACAAAACGCTCCTAGGACTCAAAATGTTTCTTGGTTCTACGTTGAGAAATTAATTGACTAGTTTGGTGATGGTTTCAAATTAAAGATAAAAACTAATTTAGTAGTACACATTATAAATAATAACTGTAAAAATGTTGAGCATTTTATACTTTCAAATAAATTAAGATCTCGTTCGTTTCGCTCGTTCGAGTTAAGAACTTGAGTGAAAAAGTAAATTCATGTGAGAGAAAACACTGTAAAAAAAATTAAATTTGATTTTTTTTTAAAATACTGTAGTAAAAACTTAAGTTATGATTCGAACTAGCGAAACAAACAATGTCTAAAGACTAGGGGTTCAAACTCTAATCCTCAATATTGAAACGAAAGTGTGGATTTACGGTTGGCTATACTTGGACTCACCTTAGTACACATTGCAATTCTTTTTACATCATTCTTTTTTTTTAACACTTCACATCAACATTAAAAACAATTGTGTGGTTTTACTGTTAAGCTAACCGTTCTTTTAATGGTCGCAAACTGTCATTCTGGCCTTTTTACTTTGGATGGTACTCATGAGTTTAGCAGACGTAGAACACCGCTAGATTTTGTAAAAGTACAATAGCAAGAGGCGTATTTAATAATTTCACCGATTTGAGTTTTCAATTCTAAATTATTACAGTAAAAAAGTCTCAGAAAATGTCACATATAATTTTTTTTACTACAGTAAAAAGCTCTCAAAAAATATCATATCTCAACTTGAATTAAAAACTCAAATCTGTGAAATAAACGAGGCTAATAAATCAAAGGACCATAGTCCATCAGCTTAAAATAAATAAATAAATAATACTTTCGTCGGCTAGCAGAAGCATACGAGGATATTCTCTTTGGCCATATATACAAAATAAAGAATTCAAGGTTATTAGAATAATCTAATTAAAGTCAACACGGAGCTATATTGATGGGCAAGTCAACTAGAGCTCTAGAATTGCAAATGAATCCCAAGAATAGATCTTATAGGGAACACAATATCTCAATTTTTTTTCTTTTTTTTTTCTCTTTTTCTTATGGGGTTTTTGTTTTCTTTGCTCTAATTGTACTATTTTTCTTTCATTTAATAATTTTGCCTTTGTTGGTGGCAGAAGAAAAAAATTGCACATGCTATGTCAAACTCAATCCGACAACAGCACACGTGATATTAAATTCTGATCACGTGCCACGTGGACTCGTAGGAAAATTTAAAGTAGTACTCTTTCTAATTGATTTTCTATAGCTTCTTCAACAATATTGCACTACTCGTAGTAGTGCATGTAGAAACGTACGAGAAGCCTTGCAAACCTGAAACAAGAACCAATCACTTTAGCATTCTCAGATCATAATATTCATGGATTTCAGTGTTGGTAATTATTATAGGGTAAAATTTTGAATTCTAAATCATATATTAAATGGGAGTCACGTGTCATAAATGAGGGCATTAAATTATCAGAAATAGCTCAGCCTTAATTACCACGTCATATAATAACTCTCTTAGAAGCAGACTGCTAGTTAAAGGTGTGACTTACATTGGAGGTAGACCACTCTAAGGAGATGAAAAGGACAACATGAGATCGACCGCACCAACAATTGTAGGAGAAGATGGTTCTCGGAGCGCTTATGAAGTCGAGTCTATGCAAGTCGAGAGAGATGTGATCTTTGCTCCGAGATTTGCTATTTATAACTCAAATATACGAAATTTAAGCAATGAAATCGTCTTGATTGATTATAATCTCCATCTTTTGGGAAACTATCCTAAAAGATGAGGAAAATATCCCCGAATTAAATAGAAAAACCAATAGGGATGATGGTGAACGATATAACTAAGGGATGTAGATCAAAAAATCGCTAAGTCTCATTGAGAGCAATTAGAGTATAATTCTCTCCGAAAAATAAGTGAATTCTCTCCTCCCTACAATGAATGTAGCCCTTGAATCAAAAGTGAACTACTATAATTCTCATATGCTCTTAGTTTTTAAATGTTTTAAATCACATTTTAAATCATTAAATTCACACAAACCGTTTTAAAAATTATTATATTCCTGTTAACGAATTTTCACCTCCAACAATAATCTCATTATGTTGTGTGTTTTAAGGTGATCAATCTTTTACAATTGACGTACAAGGTTAGTTCTATATATATACACTCTTATATATACACACACACGTCGCCTTTCCTTTCCTTTCCCTTTCTCATTTTCCTTCTTGTTTTCTTGCTTAATTCTAGTTGAGGAGAATTGGCAATTCTAAGCTACAAGTGTTCCATCTTATTTAAGCCGCTGTAGCCTTCAAATAAATGGGTTGCTAGCCGTTATTTAAGAATCCCTGCCCGTTTGTAACATCTGCACTACTTTATAACCTGTGGAGGTGACAATAAGATTTCACGAGAACCTTATGGAATTGACTTTTTTTTTGTCAATATATATATATATATATATATCATGTCAACTTGTTAATCAAGACCAAAAACAGAACTAATGACATCCAAATCTCAAAAGTATATGACTGCAACATTTCTGTTTAAC